CCACACGGGAGTCACCTGCGGGCCAATTTGGCCCACGGGCCTTGTGTTTGATACATGTGCCTTAAACTGATCATGGTGTCATTGCTTTGTTTACTCTAAAACATGTTTCCAATTGGTATGTACTGGTCAGTGTGGACCATGGCGCAATAAATCATGTATGTGTGGCTTGCTCTGTAAGAGGAACACATTTTAATCAAATGTGAGGAAGGAAAACTAGCCAAGGCGGTTTGATGCTTCGGGCAAAATTCAACTGAGGAACACTGGGAACTACCTTGCATGTGAATTTTACTTTGACATGTACCGCCTACCATATGCTGCAGCAGGCAAAGCACTCTTTTTTTTTTTGTTGTAAAAATTGCATTTCTGTATAACAGGAACACTACAGGTGATGGCTTGTCCTTTAACTTTTCCAGTTTTTACAAACATTCGTTGGATTTTACTGTTTGAACAAGTCAAATTCTTGTTGCATCAAATACCTCTTTTTAGGACAGCTTGAAGCCAAATACATCAGCATACCTTCAGAGATTTATTGGAGTTTACAACTTGAAGGATCAGGTCTGTTGTGGTAGCAAATAGTGGCTTACTTAGCTGGGGATTTGTACAGAGTGAAAATTACAGCCACAGATCAGGTAGGAAAAGTTTGACTTGTAAACATGAGCAATAAGTTTAGCTTTTCTGTCTTTTTATTATTAGCTGGTAAATCTAAACACCCTTTTCTACACATTCAAGCCTGAAACTCTCAGACTGAAGAAGTCTCTTGGAGGAGAGACGAAACGTTTCATTAAAGAAGAACCCGTCCAGAGGACCTATACAATTTTTTTTCCTTTTGATTTTTTACCTGGATTACTGAGATGCATCAGGACGTTATGAGATATATATATTTTTGTTCCCCATTTGTGAAGCCCCCTTAATGGACGGTGCTCTTAGTGTTTGCCTATACTGCCTATGCCGCGGGCCGACCCTGCTTGAACCTGTACAAGAACAGCATGCCAGTGGCGAGATGTGTGAATCAAACCAGTCTGCCCCAGGGCAGCTGTGGCTTCACCATCAATGTGTGAATGTGTGTATRAGTGGGTAAATGAATGGAGCTCTTAGGGACTCGATAAAGTGCAATACATGTTCAAGCCGTTTACCATTATAGATGGTGTGAAGGAAGATATGGAGCAGGTTGGTKTAGCACAGAGGAGAATTCTATCATAGGCAAGCTTATTGTGATTGGTCACAAAGGTACAACATATAATTTAAGCCTGGTATTTAGAGTTCAGAATGTTTATACATGAAATGCTTTCCTTGTGTTTCGGACAGGTTTTGACTACTACTTGGGTATTCCCTACAGCAACGACATGGGCTGTACTGACACACCAGGCTATAACCTGCCTCCGTGCTCCCCTTGTGTTACATCCAGACCTGAAGTGACYCGGTATGGCTGCATGTTACTCTGACATGCATAATAAGCAGCAACAACAACATCAAAACTCAACATACACACAAATAAATAACCGAGCTGTGTTTTCATCTCATGTTCCAGACTGAGGAGGAGCGTACATGGGGGCTGTTACTCCAAGGTGGGCCTTCCTCTGGTTGAAAACCGCAGCATTGTGGAGCAGCCGCTTGACCTGTGGACATTAACAGAGAAGTACAAATCTGCTGCGCTCAGGATTATACACAGTGCAAGGTACAACACAGATGCACAACCAGAAACTTGCATAGTGTCAAAAACAAAGATTAATTTATTGATCTCTGTGATAAATAATTTACAAAAATATGGAATTTAACACACTTAAATGTACATTTCCTCTAATGTATTTAGAAAACTGACAGATGTGGACTTGGTTGTATTCTTATGATATAAATAGATCAGTCTTAGACTTATGATGTTGGAAAACGGTATCAGTGATTAGTTTTAAGATAAAACAATAAAGTTGTTGTTAGTCATATTGAGATGTGTATAAATGTTAAATGTTCGCTGTGCAAATATGCTGTAAACCTGTAGATCATCAGACTTCAGGACAACAGCACAACTGACTCTGATGATTGCGTAAACTGTGAGCYGAAGTCATTTCTGGTGTAGCAGCCTTAGTGTGGTGTTTGTAAAAAATAAAATAGCAGATTTTTGTGAGTGTGTTTGTGTTAAAGAAGAGTCAGGTCAGCTGTATTTTGTCAGGTTAAATTGATTTGGAAAATAAATATACAGGTGTCCTGTGATATGTGAGTGTGTATATATAGCTGGTAAAATAAGTATTGAACATGTCACCATTTTTCTCAGTAAATGTATTACTAGAGGTGCTAATGATATGAAATTTTCACCAGATGTTGGTAACAACCCAAGTGATCCATACATACAAAGAAATCAAACCATAAATGTCCAGAAATTGTAATAAATGGTGGAATGAGTCTCACTGAAACGTCCAACAC